ACTCTTCCCCTTCTCCCTCACTCTGGCCTTGTCATTCCTGGAACAAGTCAGGCCAGCTCCCTCCACGGAGGGCTTCCTACTCGCCCTTCTCTCTGCCTGGGACACTGTTCCCACAGACATGCACAGGGCCCACTCCCTCAACCTCCTGCAAGGCTTTCCCCACTCTTGTCCTCAGGGGGCCGTCCCTGGCCATCCCAGCTCAGAGGACAACCCCTTCCAACGCTCCTACAGCATCCAGGACCCCTGATGTGCCAGATTCCTTGCCTCTGTGTTTCCTGGCTGCTTCTCTCCCTGGAAGAAAGGCTTCCTAACAGCTCCACCGAGGTCTGTCTGGGTCACATCGGGAAGCGCACAAGAACCGAGCCTCTGGCAACTGAGAAGGCGTTCAATAAAGAATGTGCAGTGACTGCTGCAGTCATCTGAGGGAAGATGAGAGCTCGTGAGGCAAGGCGGGTGGGGGAAAGAGCATCTTGGGCAGAGGGAGCAGCCGAGCCGCCCCAAGGCCGGCGGGCACAGGGCACATTGGAAGGAATGACCGGATCGAGTACAGCAGGGAAGGCGAGCGGGAAGCAAGACTGGAGAAGAAGGACGGAGCAGCCGTGCACACACAGAAGGAACGTTTGGGTCTATCTCGAACGGCAACAAGAAGCCAGGAAACTAGGCAGTGACATGAACGAATGGGCCTTCCACAAACCTCTGGCTTCAGGGGGAGATAGGGATTTGGAGGCGGTAGAAGCGCCTGGAAGCTCAGTAAGCAGACTAGAACCATGGCGCAGACCACAAATGACCTTAACTCGGAATGAGAGGGCAAAAGCAGAGGTGGAGAAAAGGAGGTAGATTCCAGAGATGTTTAGCAGATAAAATCACAGGTCTGGGAGAATGATCACACAAGGGGGTAAGGAAGTAAAAGCAGAGTTCCAAGAGGACTCCTCCCTTTTGCACGTGGGAACTGAAGGACACAGTGGCCCGATTCACGGAGTTGGGGGGGGCTGGGGGTGGCGAGGAGGAGAATACAGGAAGGGGATCTTGAGAAGTTTTGGAAAGAATGGATTTGCCATAATTCAGAGACATTGATATACAGATTTCCAGTTGGCAGCGGGAGACCCAGGGAACCGTGAGAGGATCAGGAAAAGCAAAGTGAGTCGCCACACAGTACAGATTCTCACCTTGTGGCTGATGGGGAATCAAAAGGTTTCAAGGAACGCAGTAACAGGAGAAGATGTGGGATTCCAAGAAGATCACCCTGGCCAGAGCAGGAGCACGTGGATGGGAGAGGGAGCTGGATGAGAAGCAGGCAGAACAAGAGGGACCTGCTGCAACAGAGCAGGTAGGAGAAGGGACCGGAGCCAGGGCTGTGGCCACAGGGAAGGAAAGGGGAACAGACCTGCTCTTTGTCAGCAGTGCATCTCCCACGGGGCTCCTGGGGACCGTCCGAAAACCCGGAGCACGTCAGCTCCCCCACTTGACCCCTTGGTCCTCGCACGAGTCATTCTCTGACAACCTCCCCAGAATTCTCTCTTGCTCCCCGCTCCCTGGCCCAATGTCAGGTGCCGATGACACAGCCCTGGGCTTCCACGGCCAGGCTAGTTTCTTCTGCCCTGCAAACACCTATTTGTCTTTTGAAGGCTTCCCCCCTCCACTGGCAAAGAAGCAAGAGCAGTGCTGACATCGAGGAGGCGGCCTGGCACCATGAGCCGGGCTGCACGGCTGGTCGCCGCGGGCCTGGCGCTCCAGGAGACGCCACGTGCTTCTCCGGTTGCACGCAAATGACCTCGCAGAACAGCAGCTTGAGGTGCCGTGGCCCCGGTGATGAAGGGACACCAAAGAGGACCCCTTGCTCTTTTGTCCAAACAGACAAAAACCAGCTTGTCGTGCCCACCCCCAAATGCCAATCCTCCTCTCTCCCGCCTGATACCAGCGAGTGTCTTCCTTGTGAATGACACCGTCCGTCACGCTCTTCACACCTCCTTCTAGAAAACACTGATGGAGCTACCCGATCCCAGAACTGTCTCGCCTCGCCTCGCCTCAGCACCCAGACCAGAGCACACCCCTGCTTCCTTGAACACTCCCAAAAACATCCGCCCAAAGCCCAAATCCTGTAAGTTCTTTCTAACACCCTCTTTCTTACGGATCAGCCCCACAGTCCCCATGACGTGGGTTCCCCCTCAGGATGAGTAACGAAGCCACTGTGTTTAACGACAGCTGTGCTTCCAGTGGCCTTTGTGGAGGATGCTGACCACCGTCACGGGAGGAAGGGATGGTTCCCTTTCCTGGAGGGAATCCTAGGTGTCCTGGGAGGCTAACTGGCTTTCTTAGTGCGATTTTAGGGGCTTTATGGCTGTAACCTAGGGCAGCAGGAACCAGCCTAACCCACAGCTAGGACATAGCTGGAACCAAATAATATTCAGAATGGAGGGAAATCAAGGGGCGCCTCGGTGGCCCAGTTGGTTCAGCGTCCGACTCCTGATTTCACATCAGGTCATGATCTGAGGGTGCCGAGACTGAGCTCCAAGTTGGGTTCCACACTCAGTGTGGATTCTGCTGGAGATTCTTTCCCCCCCCCTTTCCCTCCTCTTCTGGCCCCACGCCAGGGGCATGCACTCTCTCTCTCTCTCTCTCTAAGATAAAGAAGTAAATAAAATCTGTATTTAAATAAATAAATAATGGAGGGAAAGCAAAAGAAGTAAGAATTATTTATGGAAGGCTTCACTCTGTGTCAGACCCGGTGCTAACTGCCTTGGATCTATTGCTCATTTAATCCTTACATCCCAAAGGTGGGCTACCATTTTTATCCCCATTCCAAACACAGGACTGAGGCACAAAGTGATCTGCCCACGATTCACGCAAGGAATCTCTACGTTATTAATCACATGACTTTCTGACAAAGTTTAAGGGTTTAACACACTACAGTGAAGATGCACATCACGGTATCACAGAACTTGGAAGGACAGAGCCCTGCAAAATGTCCTCAAACGTTAACTTATGGATTCTCCCAATCTTCTTGCATGTTGTTCAGATAAAGGAAAGCCCGGTGCTAAAAAGGCTTTCATGAAATGCAACCAGATGACAAATATACGTGGTCTTTAGAGCCCCGGGCCCATCCCAGAAGACTCTGACTCAGTGAGTGTAGAGGAGGACGTGAACATCTCTGTTTTCTTTAAATAGCCCCACAGGCTCTGCTGATGTGCACTCTGGGCTGGGTACCACTGTACTCTCTGCAATTCCAAACCCAAACTTGCCCTACAATGTTTAGATGGCTGCAGACACAGGGGGGCATCGAAAACTGAGGCAAAGAAGAACAGAGAAATTACAAAAACTATCCCCTAGAGAGTCAAGAAAAGGAAAGCTCTAGTTATATTACTTCTCTGTCCTTTGGCTGTGTCTGAATTACTCTACAGTTAACTTACTTTGTTTTAAGTAGGCAAGTTTGCTAAAACGTTTACCAACAAATACTAAATAATCAAGACTACCAATACATTTTAAATAAAATTATACTATGCTACTGAAAAGTATTTTCTGATTATTTCAATGGCACTTCAGAGTCTCTTAGCAAGTAGCAGTCGATATGCGAACATTATTTCTAATTCAACAGTTCTACACATGTGGTCAACAGCACCTGAACACTGGAGAAGAAATGAAGTTGGCTGGAAGGCTTTTAGCTTCACAAATTTCACCACACACTACCGTCAAGTCTTCAATACCAATGTATGTATTTACCTCTTTATTTAATCAACCACCACTAACACCCACTACATGTCAGACAGGGCTCTACGTGTTTCATTAACGTTAAATATCATTTATCTTTACAATCATCTAAGAAGTGGGATTATCATCATCTCCATTTCTCACATCAGGAAACTGAGACCCAGAATGGTTTAGGAACACAGCTCATAAGAGGCAGAGCTCCGATCAGCTTGGCTCTGGACTCCATGTCTTAAATCACTATGTTTAGTCTCCAGGAACCCACAAAAACTGCAAGTCTTAACCCCGAACCTTGGCTTGCCCACCCTACAGTCCCTACAGTCCCTACGTGGCCCCGGCTTCAAGGGCATTCCCTCAATTCCTTTCACAGTTCACACTCCTTCCCTGCTCTAAGTGAACACCCTCCCACATCCCCGTTTTTTTCTTAGCCTTCTGTTCTCAGCTTAAACATTACTGCCTAAAAGACAAACTCGAATGCACCCCGTAGTTCTCAGCACTCGAAGCAAAACGGTAATTATGTATTTCATGGGCAATTATTTGCTTCCAGTCTTTTCCAACCAGGTGGTGATAGGGTAGACGCCGTATCTGTCCTATTTATCCTGGGTTCCCAATCGCTGAATACCCACCCCCCCCACCCCCCCAAAGAGAAGGGCCTACCACGAAGTACACTCTCAACACTTTCTGTTGAACGAACGAACGAACGAACTACACCCCAGCCTGGGCTTTCCGACACCTATCTGTGCTCACAACACGGCCCCCACTGCACCCCTAGAACGCAGCCTCCTGCGGCAGACACGCAAGAGCTCTGCAAAGTCCTGGCTCTGCGCACCACTACTACGTGCTCCTGGGCAGACCATCCCCCCCGCCCCGCCCCAACACACCTTGACTGACCTGATCTCAGGTGCACAACGGGCACCCTGACGATCCCCAACGGAATGTGACCTATGCAAGAGGAAGAACCTGCACTCCTCCTCCCCTCTCAACGCTAGACTTCCTTGCTTCTCGTCGGGCTTCCATAAGGACTCGAGCCCCAAGGAGGCCAAGACCCCGCCGGCCTGCTGCAGGCCGCATTCCCAGTCACGCTCCCCCCAGGCCTGGCGCACAGCACAAGGGAGGTCATTCTCCGCTCCAGGAATGAAGCCCCGCGCCGGGCACTTCACACGTGCGAAACGAGGGTCGCACGAGGTGACGGCGCCCTTTTGGCGAACGAGCGTGTTCCGGAGACACAGGCCCGCCCCCCACCCAGGCCCCAGGCCCCAGGCCCCCGGGGACGCTGGGTCCCCGCGCCCGGCAGGCACCTCTGCACGGAGAAGCATCTTCGCAAGGGCCGCGCACTCCCTCGTCGTCTGGGTCTGTCGAGGAGGACGAACAGGAGCTGAAAGAGGCCGTCCTCGGACGAGCGCCCATGGCCGTGGAGGTTCCGGGGTGCTGTCCCCACCGAGAACAACGAAACCGGGTCCCCGGGCGCTGGGGGGACGAGCCAGCCTCGGAGAGGGAAGGAGGGCTCGCTTCCGCCGCGCTCAGCTGCCGGGGCTCAGACCCGCCGCTCACGTCAACCGCCCAACAACCTTCCCGCTCATTGGCGCTTCTGCCCAGACGCTGATTGGACAGCTTCCCGCCCGCTCGGCCCGCGGACGCGCCCCTTGGGTGCCTCCTCTGGCCCCGCCCACAGAGCCCTGGGCACCGTCTACCCCTCCTTTCCCGTCACCACCTGGCGGGACCGCCGTCAAAGCCCCGTCTTCCTTCGCTCCTGGTGCTGTTTTCTGAGTCTGGCGTCTGTGTGTTCATCACAAGCTTGAAATGGCTGTAGTCTGTCGCAAGGCCAGCTTTCCCCCCACTGAAGTGCTTTGGCTCCCTTTTCAAAACTCAGTTGAGCGTATTTGTGGGGACTCTTTCTGGGTTCTTTGTTCTGTTCTATTGATCTGTGTCTGTCCTTCTGCAGATACCACACAATCGTCCTTAGTAAAACTATCGCAGAAGTTCTGAAACTGGGTAGACTGCATGTTCCCACTTTATTATTATTTTCAAAATTGTTTCTGAAACTACTCTTCATTCCTTTGTCTATCCACATACACTTTAGAATCATCTTGTCTATCAATCTACAAAAGAAAACAAACCCTGACTGGGTTTTGACAGGAATTGCATTAAATCGATCTATCAATCTGGGCAGAATGAACATCTTCACTATGCTTAGGCTTCCAATTCACAAACATGGTATATCTCTGCATTTATTTATATCTCCGATTTCCTCTATCAGTGCTAACGGCTGTGGGCATGCGAGTGCTGGACATGCTTTGTTCGATTGATCCCTAAGTATAGTTTTACTAGTAATTGTGAACGTATGTTTGATAGTGGAGCCCACATGTTCGTTGCTAGCATACAGCAATACAACTTTTACATGTTTCTTCTGTATACTGTTTCACTGTGAAATGCCATTAGTAGTTGTAAGAAGGCTGACATTTTCATAACCTCTTGGGGCATAAGGCCTGAAATGAAGATTCCATATTAAGGGCTGTCTTCACACCAGGGACAATCAAGGAGGGACGGAAACAGCCTAATGCAAGTTCTCCTCTCCCTCCTCCCTCACACGTAAGGTCTCCTAAGCAAAAACCCTTCTCATCACAGGGACCAGACATAGTGCCTGTTGATTTGGGGGAGCAGCGTTCAGTTCCCTAGAAGCCCACTGAATTCTTCAAGCAAGCCACTCATACCCTCCCAAGGGAACCAGGACTTGCCCCACCTTCTTGTTAGGACAAAGTCTTGCCTTCCAAGCCCCTGCTTGTTCCCTCTGTTCCCAAGTGCAATTCCTGTGCAGCCCTGCACAGTGTGTGGTATCCTCCTCCCTTGAACTGTGAGAATATGTGACTAGTCAACTGCTGCCAGTCACATCTGTCAGGTGTCAAGGGATCCCTACAAGCCTAGAGCAGGAATCTCTCTCTCGTCAGGGAACTGAGGAGAAGCTGAATAAAAGCAAGTGACATCACAAACAGGGTGGCCCCACCTTAACTGAGGACACGGGGTCAGCTTGACGTGCTCCTTGGCTTCCTAACTGGCTTCAGAGGGGACAATCACGATCTGGGAGGGAACTGGCAACTGCGGGCCAGCTTGTGTGTTAGCTCGTGTTCTGTTAGCTCCAATGGAGGTCGCCATCCGTTTCCAAACCAATGTCCCATCCTTGCCAACAAGTTGAGTACAGATGCGACTTGACTGTACCTAGGAGGGAGGTGCCATCAGTGTGACCTCCATCTGGCCTGTATCGGTCTCCAAGGCTCCCCGCTGAGGTCGGCAACCCCACGACCTGCTGACTGGGGTGCTTGAGTTCCACCGACTGGGTGTTGGGCCAGTGCTTGGGGCAGACAGACAGATCCGGGTGGGGAGAGCGCACCCCACGCACCGTCCTGGGGATGACCCTCTGTGTTGTGGGTGGAAAGGAAGGGGGCCACGACCCCAGGGAGATGTAAGAATGGCTCCCTGGCTGCCTCCTGAGTCACTGTGGGTCAGGCAACGCGAGTGGCCTTGCCCATCTCCCCAGCTGCCGCTCCTCTCCCCGTTACCGTGTGTCCCCCGGAGCCCTCAGGGTTTGGAGGCGCACATCCATGGCAGCCCAGGGCCCAGGAGCTGATGAGAAACACAAAAGTGGAGGGTCGGCCGTTTGGTGCTCCACCTCTCTCCCAGTGCAAAACCCCTCCTCCACACACTTGCTTTCTCTTAGTGTTGTTGCTTCCCAGCGCGTCCAGGGACTCATCTCTGGATCCAGGGCCTTGAGGCTCCCACTCTGGCCATGGACAAAATGACCTTCCTGGCTGTGGACTCCAACACTGGGGAGATGGACTGGCATGCCCGCAGGAAGAGGACAGTCATCTGTGGGGCCGACCCACCCAGCTCCCTTTCCCCATAAACACCCAGAACATGTGCACCACGTCTGAATAGCTGGAGACAGAAACAAAAACCCATGACTTTATGGGGCTAGAAATGAAATAGTCTCCTGAGGGAATCGGTAGAGTGGGAAAAGGGGGGAGGGGAAGCCGTCCACACTGAGAGAAGGTAGGGCTGTAGCAGAAGATGCTTTGGCTTTATCAACGTCTGCGCTGTGGGTCCTGTGCTCTTTCACTTACCACCCCACTGCCTAAACCTGTTTGGCACAAGATCGCCATCCTCAGGGTCGTGGGGGAAACATCCGTGGCACCCCTGTGGCACAGTGAGGGTATCAATTCACACCCTGACTTACGCCAGGACACCTGAAACCATACGACCATTGCCACGACAGAGGCTCCAACCCTAATGATGCTGATTGGAGACTCTCTGGAAGAAAAAACGGAGAAAGATGAACAGGGTAAAAAGACACTCCCTAACCCAAGCATATATCCAGGACCAAACAAACCCAAGAAAAGGAGGAATGGAAGAAAGAAAACTGGATACAGGAAGAGGAACCCCCCCAAATTAATTCGACATAGGTTCACAATTTGACCCAACTGGAAATCCAAAATTCACAGGGGCGCCTGGGTGGTTCGGATGCTTAGGCGTCCGACTTCGGCTCCAGCCGTGATCCCGGGGACCTGGGATTGAGCCCCATGAGAGGCTCCCTGCTTGGAGGGGAGTCAGTCGGCTTCTCCCTCTGCCTCTGCCTGCAGCTCCCCCTGGTTCCTGCTCTTTCACACCTGCTTGCTGTCTCTCTCTCAAATGAATGAATAAACCGTAAAAAAAAAAAAAAAAAAAAAAAAAAGAAATCCAAATTTACTAAGATAATTTATATGGCAAAAGATAAAATGAGGTCAACTGGCTTTTGGCCCTCTAAAACATAGGTTCTGAATTAACGTTAATGTCTGCTAAGATGTACCAGTTGGGTAACCTTCATGGATTCGATACCAGGGCTCCAATTATGCTTGTACCTAGTAAAATAACCGTATTTTCTAGCTTCTGTATTTAATGCTTTGACATCTCAGACTTGCTGACTTTGGAGGGACTGTCCCTGGCAGGCTTAGTTAATTCTTAGAAAAAGTCCACAACTGGCCTGGGAGCATACCTTTCACATCCAAACCAACCGGTACAGAACCCTTACTGCCAACCACCTCATCTTAAGCAGCTCTGGGCCACTATGGCCTCCCTGATCACCGCAAGGGCGGGACAGACTCCTGCAGACACCACTCTGGCCTGGAGCCCCCTGAAATTACTCAAACTAGCCAGTCTTAAACGTGCTTATCCTGCCTCACCTGTCCCTTCCCATGGAAACCACAATAAAGGGTCTTGCCCACATTTTCCCTTCACTCCCTCTTTCTCCTGACCAATCCTGGTGCTTCCCCAGGTGGCCCTGCAAGGCTCTCAGAACCTCCTTTCTTGGGGCCTCTAAATCTACAAAACTTCTTCCATTGTGACAGTTACTTCTATATCTTCCTAACTTATCATACCTGATTAAAATAAATCCTGGTCCCCTGAAAACCTCTGAGACCCCTAGGGCCACCTGGGTGGCTCAGTGGGCTACGCTTTCTTCTCAAGTCATGGTCTCAGGTTCATAGGATCCAGCTCCATGTTAGGCTCCGTGCTCAGGGTGGAGTCAGCTTGGGAATCGCTCACTCGGCCCTTCCCTCCGCCCCCCCCCGCCCCAACTGGGCTCGTGCACTAGGTGTCTCTCTCTTTAAAATAAAGAAATAAAATCTTTAAAAAAAAACACAAGGGAGCCCAACAAATTTAAGGATGGGGAATATTTTGCTAATATAGATTTGGCCAATATGTTCTGTTCCATGCGTATTTCAACATCCTCTCGGTCAAATGTGCCTTGACTTTGAAGGGGACACATTTTACCTTGTTAAGCACAGGGCACCCAAACCTCTCTGCTATCACAGACATCTTTGTGGGCAGGATCTTACTGCACCCGTCCTTCTCCAGGGACATAGGTATGACATCACATTTACGACTACCTACTGTGAGGACATTTGTTTGACACACTTGTTAAGGACATGCAGGTGCAGGGGCGACTGAGTGGCTCAGTCCATTAAGCGTCTGCCTTCGGCTCAGGTCATGAACCCAGGGTCCTGGGAACAAGCCGCGCATCAGGCTCCCTGCTCACTGGGAAGCCTGCTTCTCCCTCTCCCTCTGCCCCTACCAGCCCCTTGTGCTCTCACTCTCGTGCTCTTTCAAGTAACCAAATAAAATCCTTACAAACAAGGAAGGACATACAAGTCCAAATTCTGTCAGTATTTTTTTTTTTTTTTTTTTGGTTCTAGAGGCAACATATTCCTTGTTTATAAATTTTACATAAGCCCATTTAGGCTGCTACTTGTCACTGAGCCCACGCTGGGTGGGGCTCCCCTCAACAAAAGGCTCTAGGATCTGTCCAAAACAACTGTGAGGGGGCGACTGGCTGGCTCAGTTGGTGAAGCGTCGGCCTTTGGCTCAAGTCATGATCTCAGGGTCCTGAGATCCAGCCTGGCAGGGAACTCCCTGTTCAGTGGGGAGCCTGCTTCTTCTCCCACTCCCTTTGACCTCCTCCTCCAGCTCCAACTGTCTCTCAAATACATAAATAAAATCTTAAAAAAAAAAAAAAAAATCACCCGTTAGTGCCCTAAGTAAAAAGGCTTTAGCAACTACCTCTCCAGCTTCCTGGAGTCACTGGAATCGTCCATGGACTCCCAATGCAAGAAATGGCCCTCCTTGGCCCTGGGTTATAGACCATGAAAGCAGCAATTGCTGACCATGCACTGGGCTCTCCTGGAAACGGAGTCTCTTACAGACTCTGAGCCTTCATATCCCGCTGTCTGCTCTGCCTCGGGTCATGATACCCCCACCAGCTTAATGTAGTTACCAAGGCCTTCTTGCTACAGGCTGAAGCCAAAGTCTGCATATCCAACCTGCAGGTGGGGGTGGCTGCTTCTATCCACAGTCCATTGCCAGATTCCATGGTGCTGGAGGACGTCAGCCTTTCCTTCTACCCCTTGGCTACCTAAGGATTCCCTTGGGATCAACTGAGTGACCATCAATGACCGTTGATACATTTTGGTTTTGAAGACCAACTCCCCCTCTTGTTCACGTGACAATTTCACTTCCTAGAGAAGCACCTGTCCTACTCCTTAAAAGTCTCAGTCCCAGGTTGAAATTGATGTCTAGATATCAGAGTCCACTGTGATGGAAAGCCTGAGATTAAGATTCAATAGGAAGTGTTGTCTTAGTATCAGGGAACATCAGAGGGCCTCCAATGGCCTCGGTCTCACCCAAAGTTCCCTTCCCCCTCTGCTCCCACAGATCAGGTCTCCTGGCCAAACGACCTTCTTTATCCCAGGGACCAGGCACAGTTTCTCCCCAAGGAGTAAGGTCCATTTCCCTGACAGCGTGTGCAATTATCCAGCAAGCCAGTCATGCCCTCCTGCAGGAAGTAGGGCTCACCGTCACTCTCTTGTTACTACAAGGTCTGCCCCCGCCCCAAAGCCCTTCTTCATTCTGCTCCCAGGTAAAACCCCCTTGTGGCCCTGCATGGTGTGGGCCACGAGTAGACATGGGTAATAAATTAGTGTCGAGCTCATCTGTTCAGCATCCGGACATCCCATAACTTTAGGGTGGGAATCACTCCCTTTACCAACGGGTGAAGAGGAGAAAAATGAAATCCTTCTGCTTTGTACCTTTGGCAAGGCACAACGATGAGGCTCATGCACTTGAAGTTCTTTGGATAAGAATCTATTGGGGGCTTGTAAGAATTCCCTGCGGCTAAAGGGCAGCCTGTATGTGAATGATGCGCAGGAGGGAAGGCTGCAAAAGCAAGGGCTTGGATGGTCTCCTAAAGGTCGAACTCCAAGCAATGAGGGAACCCACAAATAATGGCAGCAGGGAAGTGACATCAGATTTTCGTCTCAGTTCGCCCTGACAGCAGCATGGAGAATGGATTCAAAGGAGGCCGAGTGTGGAACCAGCAAGATCAGTAGGCAGTCTACTGCACTAGTCTGTGCAAGAGACAGGAATGGGTGAACCAGAGCACTGGCAACAGAAAGGGAGGGAAGGATTTAAGATATTTGGCAGGCTGAAGATACAGCACAATGGAAAATTAATGGAATGAGATCTTTCAAGAAGTCTGAATGGGAGGCGCCTGGGTGGCTCAGTCAGTTTAGCGTCTGCCTTTGGTTCAGGTCATGATCTCAGTGACCCGGGAATCAAGCACCACATCAGGCTCCCTGCTCAGCAAGGGGCCTGCTTCTCCTTCGCCCTCTGCCACCCGCCCTGCCTGTGCTCTCCTGCTCTGTCAAATAAATAAATAAAATCGTTAAAAAGAAGAAGAAGAAGAAGAAGAAGAAGAAGAAGAAGAAGAAGAAGAAGAAGAAGAAGAAGAAGAGAAGAGAAGGAAGAAGAAGGAGAAGGAGAAGGAGAAGGAGAAGGAGAAGAAGGAGAAGGAGAAGGAGAAGGAGAAGGAGAAGGAGAAGGAGGAGAAGGAGAAGGAGAAGGAGAAGAAAAGAAGTTTGAGTGGATGGTTTCCAGAGTATAGTGGAGTAATGAGCCTGGCACTGCAAACGAAGATTTGGAGTGGCTTCTGAGGAAAGGAACAAGGGAGTTGACCATGGACATTTGAAGTAAAAACTGATTAAATACTGATCAGTAGGAGCTAGTTCGGTAATTTAGGGTATATCCACAAAGGCCTGCATTTCCTTTTAAAGAATGAATTGGAATTCATTCACATTTGTAAAGATCTCGAAGGCAGAGTGATTTTTTTTTTTTAAAAGCAAGTCATAGAATACTATACGCCCAAAAAGACAAATATACATATATTTCTAAAGGCCTGAGATAAATCAGGTTACCCATGAAGTAGATTCCCAGGCAACATAAAATGAAATGGAAAAAACAATTAAAAATAAAAAAGGAGAAAGAGAAATGGGACATAACTGGGAAAATCAAACTCGCATTTTTTAAAAAAATGTATTCATCTTAAACTTTCATGCTATACACCCAGTTTCTCCAACAAGGCGTGGGTGCTCATGTATTTGATAAGTTGGGAACATTAAAACGAGTGGATGTTTTCCTTACCAAAGGTATATGTATATACATGCTCCTTATGAAAACATCAAAGCATTACAAACAATACTGGAAGTACCATTGACCGCAGCCCCCAACCCCACCAGTGTCTACTCTCATAAGAAATACCCACCATTTTCAGTTTGGTGAATACCTCTGCAGTCATTAAAAGATGCCTTTTTTTGTTAACTCATAAAAGAATATTTTTATTAAGCTGAAAGCAAGACTGCAAATATATTACGTTTTGCAAAAGGACATTTTGGGATTAGGTAAACACACAGAGTGACTTGGGGTCTTCCGAGCACTGTCTCATCTCTGGCTTGAGAATCCTCTATTTCTTTGAGAGGCCTTTGGCCGCCATTCCAACCTTCTCCGCAGGTGACAGTATTTGGGGTGCGTACGTGGGCAAAGCATCAGTGACGGCATTTAGAAGAAGGTGCTCCGATCCATCCGCTTCCGGTCCAGGTGGGGTAATAAGAGACACCGTTGTGGTGCGGGGCTTCACATCTTTTTTCCGGGATGTGGATGCTAGGGTAGTGTTCAGACGTGCTGGGCCTTGTTTCATAGCCAGTTTTCCCCTTCCTCCGGGATCTGGGGGCTTCACGTCATGAGCAGAGGGCTTTGGTGGTGGCAAAGCTGAATGAGATTCCGCTTCTAGAAACTGGACGAAAAGCCCTGAAAAAGAATTCTTGGCCATAGGTCGGTGATTTGGCTTCACATGTGTGTTGGGGGCGCTTTTGGATCCAGGCCCCCGACTCATCCAGCTGGTACCACCACCTGGCCCTTCACTGAACAGCTGCCGCATCTGGTCTTCTCGGATCCCCAGCATGCTTCCCATCAACCTTAAGGCTTCCTGCCGTTCAGCGTCAGGGGCTTGGAAAGATCCCAGGAAGAGTCTCCTTAGTAGGGTTTTGTCCACCATTCCTTCGGACTTACTGACTAAGTTCATCAGTTTCTTCTGTGTGTCCTCCAGGATTTCCTGCTGGACCTCATTCTGTTTCTGGAATTCTTGGAGTTGGTCTTCCTTCAGCTCCAAGTCAGCATTTGTTTTATGTAATCGTCCCTGCAATGACTTCAGTTTTCCTTCGAGGCTGTCTGCCTTTTCCATCCATTCGGCGAGTTCCAACTTGAGGTCAGCTAGGATGTGACCATACTGCCTTCCTTCTTCCTGCGAGGCAGCAAGCTGGAGCGCAGTGTCCTCTTTCTGCTGGGTCACCACGTGCAGTTGCTCCTGCAGCGACTCTACCTGCAGACTGGCTCCTCGGCTGGCATTTTCCATGGCAGTGGAAGACAAAACGAGTCTTCCCTGCAAGACCGTCACTTCCTTCCTGAGTTGAGCCACTTTGTCTTCTGAGGCCAGAGCTTCCCGGCGATGAGCGTCTTCGGCTTCTAGAGCGAGGTGTCGCCGTCTCTCCAGCTCCTGGGTTAGGCGTAATTCGCTCTCACGTAAATGGCGAACCTCCTTCTGGAGGGCACAGGTTTCCATTTGTTTCTGTGTCAGGGCCAACAGGACTTCATCTCTCCCCTGTTGGCACAGAACTGTCTTTCCCTGCATTGATGGAACTGCACTGACCGGCCGGTTCAATACCCCGGTCTCGTGCTCTTCTCTCTCTTGCGATAGTTGCTCCAAAGCAAGTGCCTTCTCTTTCATCGCAGCACCCTGGGATTCCTCCTCTCTCCGCATCACTGAAAGCAGCCTATCTGTCTCTTGCAGTGCCTCATCTCCCACTGCCTTTTCTCGAGAGTTTTCCTCGACTTTTGCATTTTCCTCTCTCGGTTGACACACATCCATTTCCAACTCTGCTATTCTCTCCTTCAGATTGGTGACCGTCTGCCTCAAAAGTTCATTTTCACTCACTTGGCTACGGAAGTTCTCCTGCAAAGAAAGCAAGTCCTCACTTTTCGCTTGGATTCGGAGCTCCTGATCCCGAATGAAGTTTTGTAGAACGGCCTGTTTCTCCTTCAGCTGCTCGATGTCGGAATCCCTGTGTTCCTGTTCTGGGCCTTCTCCTTCCCACGTGGCAGCCACTGAATCAGTCCATCTCTGCTTATCTTCCTGGAGGGTTCGAATCATCCTATCTTTTTCTTGCATTGATTTTCTCAGCTCTTCTACCTCCACTTGGAGCAACTCAGAAGCCTCACCCACTCTGTCAGATTTCACGGGCTCCAGAGAGTCCGCTGACTCTGAGCAGTCGGGGGAGGGCTCGAGGAAAATCACGTCCAGTTTCCCTAGAAGGAGATCCTTGGCATTGCAAAGCTCCCCGATGCTGAGCTGAATTTGTGCCAGTTCCTTCTCTAAATGTTGTAATTTTATTTCATTGCCTTTGTACGTCTGCATCAGGTCACTAGAGGTCGTCGGTAGTTCAGAATCCTTCTCGCTGCTGGTGAAAGCCCGCGCCTGGAGTTGTGCCAGCTCTCTCTCAAGCTGGGGTGACTCACGCTTCATATTTTGGACTGTGGTCATCACCTGCTGTTTCCACTCTTCCATGATCTTCACTCGCTGTTTTAATGTGTCCCGTTCCTGTAGAAGCTGCTTGAACTGATCCATATGAACGCCTCGAACCTCATTACCAGGGCTGGAGGGTTGCAGGAGTGTCAATAAAGTCTGACATTTCTGACTTAACGCATCCACTTCGAGGTCTTTTTCTCGAACGATGTGTGATAAATTCTGAATCGTTTCTCTAAACATCTCCTGACCACTACTGTCCATTCTAGTGGACAGTTTTTGATTTTCCTCTTGCATCCGCCGGAGGTCTGCTTCTGTGGCAGCCATCCTATCCGCCATTTTGTCATACTCTGTCCTCAGATTGCTGTTCTCCCTCGTTTTCTCATTTAAGACCGCCAAGACCTGTTCGCTTTTCCAAGCGTACTCTTGCAATTGCCGCTGAAGTCGCTCCACGTCCCCGTTCTGGCTGTGAGAAGCCGCAGAGATCCTGCTGGAAAGACCCTGAATCTCCAAGTCTTTCTGCTGGATAATCTGAGTTAGTTTACCAATCTCCTCTTTGGAGAGCCGATCGATCTGTTCCGTCAGTCGGATGTTCTGTTCAGTTAGAAGCTTCATCTCCAGTTCGTGTTCTTTGATTCCTAGGACTGATATTTGAGTTTCGGCTTCACGTGAATCAAGCTTTTCACTTGCGTTTTGTCTGGGAAGAGGCTGACTGGTTGGGACTTCCACATCATCACAGTCTTCTGTCGGAATGTGCTGGCTTTTGTCAGGCAACCGGGCTTTCATTTGGTCTATCGTGTCCTGCAAATGCTGAATCTCCTCGTCTTTCGCTGAAAGGAGCTGAGCGTGTTCAATATTCATCTGCTCCTGCTGGTATTGGAGCTGCTCCACTTTCTGCTTCTGCTCTTGTAAAGAATGAAGCAGTCCTATCTTCCCCTGCTGCTGGTTGTGAATGATCTTCTGCTGCTCTCTGATTTCCTCCTCGAGATCATCCTTTAACTCCTGGAGTTGAAACACCTCACACTCCAGTTCTACGATCTCGTCTAGGATTTTAGGGTCGAGCGCAGGAACAGAGCGACTCTGTTGTCCTAGGCTCTCCAGTTCTTCTCTCAGATGAGGATTTTCGCCTGTCACGGATGGGAGACACCTGTCTTTGTCCTCCACGGATGGCTGGGAAATGTCATTACTTCTGAAGGTTTGGGTAGACTGACCGAATTCCTCCTGAAGCTCTGGACTTCCTGTAAGTTCTTCAATATACATCTCTTTCTCTTTAACGAGTTGTGTCAATCGCTTCTGCTCCTCCAGAGCAGAGGACAGCATTTCCTTCGTTTCTGTATGGTCGGCGTCCATCTGCTCGATCCTCTTTTTGAGGTGTACTATTTCCAGGTCTTTCTCTTGACTGTGTTGAATGCAATGCACATGCTCTAAAGGGGACAATTCTTTGATAGTTTGCTCATCCTTGTTTGTTTCCTCCAACAGCTTCTTTTCCGCCCGAGCCAATTTTGCTATTAACCGTCCTTTTTCTATTTTTAAAGCCCTCACAGCAGTGTTGTTTTCCAGAGAATCCTCGTTGTTCCGGAGAATAGATTCTTCCAGCTGATGTCTTACATCCTGGAGCGCCAAAACCAACTTTTGGTTTTCTGCTCTGAGATCAGAAGCAACGTTGTTTAAACGGTCATTCAGCCGCTCCATTTCTGCAAGTTGTTGCTTCAACCTTCTAAGCTCAGTTTCCCTTTCTTGAAGTAAGTCATCTTTCCCATGACTGGCAGACTCTTGATGTTGCAGGTCTTCTATCCGTCTTTCATACTC